TTTTTTTTTTTTGGTTAGTGTTTGGTGATAGGTAAAATTTCGATATTCCTACATCTCCTTTGGGAATTGTTAGTATCTGTAAAGTGCATAGTCTTTTCTCTCAGACGATGCTCTGATGATACTCTTCGTCCTCGTCTTTTTTTCCTCCTGTGAATTAGAAAGCTTAGGACTCCAGTAAAAAAGTAAAATTGCTGACAATTGAGTAAATCTCAATCATTTCACTTCGGTTTTATCACTTTGAGTGATGGCAAAAGTGATGGTGAAACATTTTGCATACGTCATCTCAGACTAATGGTGAAGTGAAGGATGAGTGTGATTTCAAACATACACATACAACAGCCATACACTTAAGGGTTTTACTTTGTGTTTGATTTATTGTCACTAAACTTATAGTGGTATCCATAGGGACAGTGAGGATTGAGGACAGTATACTTTGAATTTTCAGGCTCCAGGATGTCTAACATGGTGCCTTGTCATTTAACTACTTTTATTTTTAAACAAATACTTAAAGATTAAAATTGTAAGTAATTCAAATGCAATGGCCATGTTTTTATGCATCCCTCACGTATTTACTGGGATGGGCCTGTGTTATAAATGCACTGTTTGCGTCAAGAGCTTTTGAATATGTCAGTTTTATGCATGCATCTCAATTCCATTCTCCAGTTTTCAAATCCTGACACACTTCCCTTTACTAGCTGTATTCTTTTAAAATGAGAATTCCAAAAAAGACATATGGGAGAGTAAAATATTTTAGCTTAAACATTTTTCATGATAGAACAAAAATTAGGGACATTACAAGTATACAAACCAGAGCATTTAGCAGAATACATTAGTATTGTTATACTTTTTAAAGTTGTGCCAGTAGTTAATTGCTGTTAGAATATCAAATCAAAGGAAAGGATGAACAGAGAGGGAGATCTCATTTAATAAATATATAAAGGCTTTATTATCTGTAGAGATGACACCTGCCTAGCAGAGCTTATATATTAGGAAAAAATTAATTAAAAAGGTCATTTGACTTTAATAAAGGTTTCAGCCATTGAATTATTGAGGAATCTAATTTCTAATTATAAACCAACCTTAGGGAAAAAGGAGTTCGCAATTTTGGAAGGAGATTGGTCCTAGACAGAAAAAAAACTACTCATACCCCACTATAACCTTTTATCTTTTTATTATCCAGACATTTTGCAATAAAGATAAGATCCTTTAAGGATGAAACGTTCCTCTTTTATATGTTATCTGTTTTCATTTTAAGACTCTGGTGTATGCGCAGTTATTGAATGTAATCATAAAACAAGGGGTCATTGCCTGTGTGAGTTCTGTTTACTCATCATTTAAGCTTGTTCTCTTCAAAATAATGATGCATTTTCCTCAGTATTTAACAATCTGTGTTTAGTGGACTATTTATTTACATTGATTTTTTTTTTTTTTACACCACTGAATGAATTTGGTTGTGAATGTGTTTACTTCATTTAACTGTAGCTGTAAAATCCAATTTTGGGGTGACAAGTTTGAGATTGTTATGAATAAAATGAGTCATGAATGAACTACTTGTTTGTGACTTTCTTTCTGAAGTGATGAGTTTACATATTAACGTAATATAGTGTGAGTAACCAGATTGTTCTTTTTGGTTGTTCAGATGAAATATAGGCTGGCAATGAGAGACAATGTAAGGTCTAATGAGTAGAAGCTGAGACTCATGGTGTGAATATAGGGGTGCATTAAATGGTGTGGGGTCTGCCCATTTGTCTGGTTTGTGTATGGAAGAATTGAATTTACTCAACTACTTTCATATCCATTTTTTTTTCTTTTTTACAGTGCGGTGAGACAATGATGACGATGATAGTGGTTAACATATCCTGAGAGCTTGCTATGCATCTAGTGGTATTCTAAGGGCTTGTAATGGATAATCTCATTTAATACTTATAAAACCTCACAAAAGAAGGTACTCTTATGAGTTCCATTTTACAGAGGAGGAAATTGAGATTTAGAGAGTTTGAGTAACTTGCTGATGGCTAATTTAATTTAACATAAAAACAGTGGAGCTAGGATTCAACCTGAGGTGTCTGGACTCTATACCTATACTCTAAAACCTCTGTGTCGTATTGCCCCCTCTGAATTTAGATTTACCAAACCTCTCATGAATACTTTTAACTTCTTTCTTCGATCACGCTTAAAAGCACCACCTAAATAAGTAAGAAGCTGCCACATTAATAGTATTAATCATATTTATTTATGTCTACCTTGCCTCATTTCACAGAAGATTCTTCCTTAGGAAGAAGCAACATTAGTTAAAGGGGAAGTATTTTTCTTTACTGTATTAGACATTCTTGCGGGGAGCTCTAGCATGTAATTGGGTTGTTTAAGTATGTGTTTAGAGTGCATATAAGTTGTTTATGGAGGTGTTAAATGAAAACTGTACTAGTTGCTAATGTGCAAATGTTTTTTAATGATATACTTGTTGGAAATTTTAGTTCTTCAATGCTAATTATATAGGCAGAGAATTCCACATTATTTTATTCTAGTCTGAGTGGTAAATAGACTTTTAATTTTGTACAAATAGAATAGGTTTTCTGATTAATGATTAAAAGAAGATTTTTTAAAAAGTGACTGTGTTGAGGGAGTGTGTTTCAATGTGGAAGTGTCAAATGTATATTTATTTAGTTGTGATGTTTTAAAGATGGATGTTGATTATTAAATTAAAGCTTTTTTAAAATATATTTTTTAAAATTAAGTAGGCTCTACTCCCAACATGGGGCTTGAACTCACGATTCGGAGATCAAGAGTTGTGAGATCAACACTAATCTGTTTTTAAATCTCTTGACTAATTTCAAGAGAGTAGTTAAAAATTGAGGGGGTAAGACTTCTCTAATTGCAAATGGGATTAGGCACAGAAGCATTTATATTAGTAAAACTTAATTCAGAAATGGGTTTGTACTGACGGAAAGTATTTTTTTAAATATCAAAGCATCTGAATTAGTGAATATTTTTCAACAAATGGCTTCCAAGTGCTAAAGTTATTAGGTAAATGGGTGCTAACAATTAAAATGCGATAATTTTTGAAAATTGAGCTTCATGGTTCTCAAGAGTCTATTTAAATAAAGTTCCAGACACATGAACTTTTTTCATCCAACAATGAATTGCTAAAACCTGAAATTACGAAGGTATTTCTGCTGAATTAACATACATAATGTACTTTAGCTTATCACAAATTCACAGTTGGTAAGATTTAATTACCACAATCAACTTAATTCTTTTTTATTAATAGTATCAGAGAAGCAGTAAAACTAGACAAACTTGACTGGATAGAAAATCTCTGTTTTGAAATTTGCTTATCATTAACAGATACTTAAAAATGCACTTGTGGGGGCACCTGGGTGGCTCAGTTGGTTAAGCATCTGACTTCAGCTCAGGTCATGATCTCACAGTTTGTGAGTTTGAGCCCCACATCAAGCTCTGTGCTGATAGCTCAGAACCTGGACTCTGCTTCAGATTCTGTGTCTTCCTTTCTCTCTGCCCCTCCCCTGCTCACGCTCTGTCTCTCTCTCTTTCTCTCAAAAATAATAAATTACCATTAAATTTTTTTTTAAGTGCACTTGATTAACTTCTTTAGGAATGAAGTTGAGCAGAAAGCCTTCCAGAACTTTGGAGGAATGGAAAACTTAATAGCTAGAGATTAGGCTATTGGGTTATCTACCAATGGAACATACATTTAGTATATTAGGTGTTTTTCTTACTACCTTTTGTTAGGGCTAATAAGTGGAGTTAAATTATGATGTTTTACTTGTTACTATAATTTATTTAACATTGAGGGGACTACAACAGATGATTTTTTTCTCTCCCACCAGAGCCAAGTCAAGAGAGCCCTGAACTACTGTACTGTATAGAATAATCCATTTCTTTTTCTGTTTGGCCAAAGTTTTGCCTTCCTCTAAGTCTGCTTTGTAATTTCTCACATTGTCAGCATTAATTTAAAATCCCAATGGGCAATATAATACTGAACACATTTTTATAAAGTGGAAGGAAG